TACTAAATAAAGATTACTCTTATTAACGGAGAATTTAATCTCTAAACATTCAGATTTTTGCAATTGAGTCTTTCAATACAAAAGCGTACATGAATGTATCCTTCTGCATGTTTCAGCAGCAGCATCCAAGAGAAAAAAGTAAGTTCTTCATCCTTCGCTGCACCATGCCCCAATGTCTACCATACAACTAATATGCTCACTGATGCTGTAGGTTTCTGCTGCAAGTGCTCAATAGGAAATACTTATCAAATGTGTAAAATGTCACCAGATTAAACAGGCCACTAAGTTTGAGTGAAAAGTTTCCAATGTCTTGGCTTACTGTTTTAAGTATCTATGCAATCAAGGAGATAGTGTGCCAACTGATATTCTTTGAGTTTGTTAAAATGTGATTCTGGCCATATGTTTATCCTATATTTTACCATTCAGCATTGTGTCATTTGATTGAGGCTCGCAGCTATGTTTAAAGGGTAGTATTCTGTATTGTAGACAAACCCTAGAGATTTACTTTTAAGAATTCTTCAGATCAGATTTTTTGTGATCTTATGGTCTCTTTGGCAATGTTAAAAAAAAAAAAGGCTGAAATCTGGGAGCAGCTGTCTAGAGAATTCGCTTGATGAAAGGGAGTTCTCCAGCCTGCAGGCAGATAAAGGGAGAGGACATGTTAGAGCACCTGCTATAGCCATTTTCCACCAACATAAGATCCACTTATCCCAAGCAAGGCTGACACAGGAAAGACTCTCTCCTTCCCCCACAAAGTTCTATAATTAAGTAGCTAATTCAAGGATGACACTCATGTAAATAATTACACATCTATATGGCAATGATTGGCCAATGATCCCACAACTAAAAAGATTAGTCCGTTTTATCTTTCTTCCTCTCTGTTTTGTAACACCAATCTGACCAGTGAGATACTGCCAAGAACCAGTCCAATAGCTATGTCAAAGCTCAAGCAGTTAAGTGCAGCAGGCATTCACGGCCAACGACTGCTGAATAAAGCCAGAAAAAAGTCTCCTCCATTCAGTTCCACAAGACATCACTAGAAGGTCCGGCTGAAGACTCCACAGAGGCTCCTGATGCAGAATATGGAACACCTTAGTGAATTAAGCCCTAGACAGGATACAGAAGACATACAGATAACTCCTATCATTAAATACCACCAGCTCAGCTCCCCTTCCTGGTGAGGCAGAAACTTTAATATAAGTAACTCTCACGCTACTTTAAGGAAGTTTGTTAAAGCCTCTGAAAGCAAAGTCAGGTATGAGTAGGTGCTTAAGCTACCTAGTAGCTAGCACTCCATCTCCTAGGTGCAGTAGCCAGCACTCCATCTCCATTACAGCTTCTAACTTTAGTTACACTAGGGAAGCTGAACTGGTGTCAGTGGTAACACATCTTTGCACAGTTTTGCTATTATTGACAAGGCTTCACAATAGTTCCTGTGCTATACAGTATTTCACCTCAACCAGGACTTCATCCAGAAGCAGTGTAGAAGAATTACAAGTTTCTTTCAATGCCAGGGCCACATTTTTGTCTTGTGCATTGTGTTATTAAATAAGACCTAATTCTCTTGGCTCTTACCAACTCATGCATACATTGTCCTGTCCTCCCCTACTCTTCCAAATGTGATACTGCAATGATATCACTTTTCACAGAAGCTTGTGATTTTTTATGAAGAGGCTTTGTTAAGAAGCACAGGTCTTGAAATATTTACAAGACATCAAAAGATTAAAACTGACTTGCTATGGACTCATGTAAGCCCTAAAAGCAAAACATGAAAACAACTGCCTGGGGCTAAGGCAAGTAATCTGCTCCGTTCCACATACTGCCAAGTCTCAGAACAATTATTATGGTGGCATCCCTGGACCCTAACCAGAAATTCAGGTTTTAATTAGTAACCTCTGTCACTGGTGTCTCGAAGAGGAAGCCCTTATTGACCCCATCTAGCTGCCTGGAAGGCAACAGGAACTATTCCTACTATAAGCCCAGAGACTTTAGTGGAAGAAGGGAACTGTTGTGTTATTTTCCATCTTCTCCCACCCTTCATTGCTGGTTTCTCTTTTTATACTGCTTCTGTCATATTCAGAACATAAGAATATATAGGAACTGCCATTTACTGGTCAGACTGTAGGTCCATCTTGCCTGGTTTCCTGTGTCACATGGTGGCAGAGAGCAGATACTGAAAGGGAAAATGAATAGGGGATGACCAGGTTTTTTCCCCCACTACCATTCCTCTCTCTTGCAGCCTCCAGCATTTAGTCTAGGAAGTGGTGACTCAGAAGCTGTGCCCCTAATTCTCACTAGCTCAACAGCTACTGATGCACCTTTCCTTCAAGAATTTGTCTAATCCCTCTTTTGAATCTGGCTAAACAATCAGCTTCCACAAAACCTTGTGGCAATGACCTCCACACTTTTAATTGCATGCCGTGTGAAAAAAATCCTTTCATTAGTGTTAAAATGACTGTCTACTAGGCACCATGGGACTCCAGAAAGAAAGTGAAAACAAGAACTGTAACTTTGCTAGGGCTGAAAAAGTCACCTACACACTCCCGATGACACCACCACAATCAGATCATACTGGTAAGTCTTCTGCAAGCATAACAGCTTGCAGGCTTTAAAAGTGAAAGATGCCTAAAGCTAATACAAGCTCTATACATCTCTCATGAAGCAGATCTTAACAGACACTGAGCTCACCCAGGCACACCTCAAACACTCAGCAGCCACATCTCCAGGCTAGCTTGCCACCAGGCTGGCACAGTTCATGCCAGGTGTGTGGTGTACAGGCACCTGCACAGAAGCCCCAGCCTGGAGACCTACAGCAGCAGTTCTCAATCTGTTTAGATTCAAGGGCCCCCTCATAAAATACCAACTCTCCACTTTCACTCTACTTTTGACTATGGAAAAACAACAGAGCAAGTCTTGTGGCAAAAAACTCAGAAAGACCACAACCGGTCAGAACAGCTCAGGCACCGGCGGATTCCTAGTTGAAATCTCAGGGTGGGAGCTGGTGAACTGTGGCTGCTCATTGCTACTGTGCAGTAGCACTGGGAGGCACTAACCGTGATGCAATACTACTGTGCAGTAGTGTCAGAAGAAAAGAAACGTGGGGATATGACTACGTAGTAATGCTGGTTACTGTGCAGTCATTTAGTACTTGATTATGCAAGTACTAAATGCACAGTAACAACTGCGCAGTCCACCACTCGTGTGGATGTGGCCTGTGTGTAGGGGTTTGCACCTCTAAGGCTAAAAACAGACCTTGTTTCCCTGGGAACTGATTTTCCTGGCCTTCAATTCATAGTTTTATAGTTGGTAGGATCAGAAGGGACCTGAGCAGATCATCAAGTCTGACTCCCTGCCTTGGCAGGAAAGAGTACTGGGGTCAAACAACCCTGGCAAGGTGATTATCTAGCGTCCAAACAGACCAGGGAACAGTAATTTAGGCTTAAAACAGACAAGGAAAAATGTTAACTTGAATAAATCACAAGTCTATAGTACAAGTTGAGTTGAACCATTCACAGGTACTTAGAGCATGGAGCTGGGCAGTATGCAAGGTCTGGATTTGACGCAGCACAAAACTCTCAGATGAGAATTAAACCCAGCAGTCTGTTAGCAGGGGTATTCAGAGGTGCACTTGCACTCCCCTCCAATTTCAGCTCCATCCAAAGTTTAAAACCAACTGCCCCGCAGCAACATTTCTAATCAGGCAGCACTGAGGAAACCATTTCTCTTCATGGCTCATTAACAGGGATCCTGGTTTTCTGATTAAAAAAAAAAAATCTTCAATCTTCAGACTTAAAAAAGTAACCGCAAAGCTACATTTCTCCAAGATTAAAATGAAACAAGAGTAATATATAAATATCTACAGATAGATCGAGTTAATGCCATTTCATTTTAATCATGGAACTATGTGGATTTGTGGTTATTTTTCTTAATCTGAAAATTGGGGATTTTTTTTTTTTTTTAAATTAGAGAAAACCAGGATCCCTGCTCATTAATAATCTACCTGCTTCCTTGTAAGCTCTTCAGCCCATGGGTGTGAAGGCCCCCTTTTTAACAGCCTTCATGTTCCACCCCTCCAGCCCAGGCCGGAAACGCCAGCAGCCCTGCTCTGAGTCCGTACACTGGAAACCCCTGATTGAGAAGCGAGTTAGGTCTGTGATAGTCTGGGCAATTACAACATCTCAGTCACTCTGCCATTGGCTAGGAGGGAATTTAGCCTGGGGCGTTTCCAGACAGCAGAATTTGAGCAGAGCAGAGGCACTGCCCTGTCTTGGCCCCTAGGTGCCCTCTCTCATGGATGCTGATCCAGGACCAGCCTTTTGTTTACCAGCTGGCCATGCCCTGCTCCTGGGAACAGCAGCTCCCCCCTCCCTGCCTTGCAGGCAGCTTTTACCTCCCTCTAAGCGACACTCCTATTTTTTGGCTTGGCTCCTAAATGAGTGAGTGAGCAAAGCTGCTTATTTCTCCTCCACAGGAGAGAACTGCGCTGGGGCAGCTTTTCTCAGGCCACGGGTCACGATTCACAAGTGAGTTGCAAATATATATACGGAAGGGTGCGGAACAAGCTTTAAAACCAGATTCCCCTTTAAAGAAGAGAAAAAACCGAGGGTTTTCCCTTGCTGGCTGGCAGAACTCCGGCCTGCGAGGCACTGCTTGGGGACCCTCACCTGGGGGTGGGGGGGGTGAGGGGCACTGGGTTGGGACTGGCCATGGATGTTTACAAGTGGGTCCTGGTACATAAAAGGCTGAGAGCTGCTGCTCTGTGGGACGAGGTCCCTCCCCCTCAGCACGCCCCTCTTCCCAGCCCCAGGTCCCGCCCAGCAGGGCACGGGCTAATAAAACCGGCCGTTCGTGGGTAGGGGGGGCTGGAACGCGGGGCGCGCGGGGGGAGCCGCCCCCAGCCCAACGGCCCCTCCCCCCGCGCCCCCATTGGCTCCCCGGCGCGGGCGTGGAACCCCCAGCAGGGCCCCCCTAGTCTAGAGGGGGGAGGACCCGCCTCTTACCGAGCAGCGCGGCAGCAGCGGCCAGGAGCACAGGAGCGCGGGGCCGGGCCATGGCGGAGGGAACAGAGCGCAGGGAGCAGCTGAGCCGAACAGAGAACCCCCCCGCCTCTGGAAGCCGGGCCGGTCATATGACCGCTGATGTCACCGCCCCGCACCATCGTCACGTGACCCGCCCCTTCTTACCGGAAGGGAAACCGGTAAGAAGGGAGGGGGGACTATTAAGGAAGCATTCTCGCGAGAGTGGCGCCGTTTCTCACAGTAGCCTAGCACTAGGAGTTAACGCAAACCTTGGGGAGAGGGGTTAGAGCTCCCCGAGCAAGCTGCCCCAAACCCGGCAGCACCGGTGCCCCATTGCTCCTGAGCTTGCGTACAAGCCGCCATCTGATTGGTTGCTTGAACCCCGCGGCGGCCAATCAGAGTTGTCCTTGGGAGCCTTTTACTCCGCCTCTCCCTCCCTGCTCCTCAGGTGGGACTGAAGGGAAGGACTGAGCCTGCGGTTCGGGGTGGTCCCACCCCCTGCTGCATCATAGCCGGCGGAGGGGGCAGCGCGCGGCCTTCTGCATTGGGAAACATAGCAACGCGCTCGGCAACGCTGTGACGTCACAGAGCAGAGAAGGAAGAGTCATGGTACCTTGTTAGTGCAACGATGAGCAGGGATCCTCGTTTTCTCCGAGTAAAAAAAAATCCCCATTTTTCGGAAATAAAAAAGTAACCCAACATCCACATTTTTCCATGATTAAAATGAAATGTCACTGGAATATTTATGCATATATTTATTTATTAATGGCGTTTAATTTCAATTACAGAAAAATGTGGGTGTTATTTTTTATATCTAAAAAATGGTATTTTTTATCAGAGAAATCTAGGATCCCTGATGTTTGCAGCGCTGCGGCTGGGAGAGCTGCTGTCTAGGTCTGCAGCCTGCCATGATCTGTGTTCAGAGTGATGCTGTCTGTGGTGCCTGCCCATGTGACAGACCAAGTCCCTATGGAGAATTTTGGACTTTCCTTGTAGGGCTCTTTTGGGCCATGTCACCACTTGTTGCTTGTTACCTGACCCTAATAGTGCAGTGCAGTGATCTACTGGGTGCCACAGCACCCCAGGGTGCTGAGATCCATTCAAAGGTGCTGTGGAGCACCCATCGTAGCACTGCTACATGCGCAAACCCGAGCCACAGGATGAACCCGCAGATTTCACAAAGGAACCCATTGCGTTTAGAAGGTTCTACCCTACTGGGATCTTTGAGTTGTTTGCAGCAGACAAATCATTATTTTTCCATAGTTAAAAAACCCATAAAAAAATCAAACAAACAAACAAGGGAAAACTAGGAGCTGCGTTTCTCTGAGCTAGGCCTTAAGTCTAAAAAGGCCAAGAACCCCACTGAGTTTAGCATCTGTCCAAAGCCAGTGACTGGGAGTAGGGAATAAATGAGCAAAGGAGCAGAATGTGTGGATCAACTCATGAACATTATGGAAAAGGTCTACCTGGGCAACATAAGGGAAATACTCATAAGACCATAAACTGGCCATACATTTCTGCAGGGAGCTGAATTTTGGAGTAACGGACAGTTAATAGAGACAGGCTTTTGCACAGCAGGGGTTAAGGACAGGGGTGGGGAGGTAGCAGCATTCAGCTACAAGACTGGTCAAGTTCAAAGACAAGGCACAAGCTAGCTGCTTGCCTACTGTCAGACCCTGAAAAGGCTGAGCTAGATCGCAGGGTATTGCATTCAGTAATTTTGTGTTTCGGCTGTATTTTCTCATGCTTGGTCTTTCAAATAAAAAGCAACAGTATGCTCAGAAACTCTGTGTAAAGCCTATCTGCCATGCCTGCTCTGGAAACAGATTGCAAATTAGAAAAGCTCATAACCTTTGCTGTGATTCTCAGAAAGGGAATGCTTCAGCCCTAGGGAGTCCCTTCACTGCATCTGATGAAGCTTGCAAGCCCTCTGCTTACCAAAGCTTATACTATGAGTCTATAAAGGTGCAAATCTACCCTGCCTTCTGCCTGAGCTCTAGCTACTGAACAGTCAGTACTAGAACTAAGTATAGGTAGGCTTCAGCTCTCAGGTATTGGCAATGATAGAGCATGGATCAGCATCTATGATGGCAGCTACAGACTCTTAAGATGGGGCAATGCCTTGGCTCCACTCAGATTCTTAAGTCTTAAAACACTCAGGACATCCATTAATTAAATTCCCTGGTACCAAATTGCTAAGTGATTGAGGTGATGTAATTGTCCAAACTGTTACAAATGTAACTCATTTTACATAGACCAGGGTTTTTAAACACATGGCCACAGAGCTGTTCCATCCAGCTCACTGGGCTACTAGCTTTTGGGGGGTAGGGGTAGAGAGTGTGACCTTCACAGAATTTGGGGTCACTAGGCATCAGTGGCACAGGGGGTAGAACAACGCCTGTGCAGATACAGTTCTTGCTTACCCTGCTGCTGGACCCTACTACTACCACCTGGACCTCTGCCACCACTGCCCATAAAACACCAGTGCTCCCAGACATGCCACAGCTACTGCTGGCCCCTTGGATCTAGCCCAGGAGGAGCCCAGAGGTCCAGATCCAGAATTTGATACTCCTGTCATAGATCAAATGACAATGGCTTTGGTCACCAATGACATGGTCAAAAGTGTAGCTGAAAAATTGCTTACTCATTTGATCAGCATGCAAACAGTCTAGCAAAAAGCAGAATTCATAAATCTTATTTTTTCTATTACTGTACCAGTGAGAGTAACTTGGCTAACAAGTTCCAGTCCACTGGTATGTTTTTGTAATTACACAGATGAGAATTACCTGTTGATTACATCGCTTCCTCAGGCAGACATAATTCACTGGTTGGTGAAAATGTCTCTAGAGAATACTATCAGTTTTTGTAAACTACTGTTTTTGTTCATCAAAACACTTGTTGAGTTAAGAGTCTTTTGTTGGGGTGAATGAGCGAGGGGAAGGAGAAGTAGTAGTGATATGCACCATTGTTTAACATATATCACTGGACTGCTGTTTGTTACTGCCAACTTAGTCTGATGATTCTCAGCTGTGGTGTTGCAAGATCCTTTGAACATTGACAAACAGTATTATCTCTGTTAGGTGCGCAAACATCTACGCAGGATTCCCAAGACAAACCCAGAGATTTCTAACAAATCCATAGTGTCAAAAACATTCTGACCTGTTGTGGTCTTCCTGAGTTCTTTGCCATAGAAGGATTTACTCCTATTTTCTGTAGTAAAAAAACAAGTGAAAACTAAGAATACGCATTTTCTGAGGCATGTCTCAAGTCCAAAAAGATTGAGAAGCATTGCTTTAATCTGAAGAATCTTCTGCTCCATTAGCCTTATTATATGTACTTTTTTTTCTTTCTTTTTACTTTTAATATTTTTGCAGACAGACTGGATAGATGTGATATGAACACAGATCAATCAGTCAGCAAATCTGCCTTTAAACTAACACTAAACTGCAGACTGAAAAATTGATTTAAGTGCCACAGTCACAATGTGGCTAAGAAATTAATATTTAATATGCAACAAAAAGGTTTTATTTGAATTAATGGAAGATTCAAATATTAAAACAAGTCTACATTAAATTACAATGTTAAATAACTTTTAAATACATTTATTATACTAAAGATACGCGAGGTTTATCTTCTAACCATAGTGGAAAGGGAACAAAAATAATTCAAAGAATGCAATACAATGAATGAAAATAGATGAGAGAAAGGACTTTAACAAAGAAACTCAAGAGATCTTTATGTTTAACAATGTATTCTTAAGGGAAAGTGATCTTTTAATTTATGCACAAAATTACATTACATAAATTTAGTAAGGTACTTTTCAAGAAAATATTGCTTAGTTAAATTCTCATTATACCATGATCAAAACTCCTTTGGTAGCTTTTAATTAGAATCAAACATACCATTATGCAACTCCTGTAAAATAAACAGAGGCTTCTAAATATTACCACAAAAAGTATCTTCCTTATAGTTACAATTATCTAACAGAACTACAAGTCTTTCAGTCTTCAATTCAAATCAACTTACATATATACAATATGTAACAAGGTACTCACAAAATCCTTAATCTCTCAAGACAAAAAGCTATGCTTTCATAACTTCAAGACTAAAAGTCTTTAAGAAAACTTTTTTTCTTTTTAGTGTAGAGCACACTGTACAGTAATTACACTGTATGCGACTCTAAAGGCAAAACTAGGTTTTACTGCAGTTTTACATAAACAGTGATAAAAAATTGTTGTCCAAAAGCAAGATAGGATCAGTTGGATTCACTCTTCATTACCCCCAAAAGCAGGACCCTCCCATCCCCACCCCCCAACCAAATATCTTAGCTAACTTATCATACAGTTCTCTATAGACATTAACACAGTTGTCCCCTTGGCACTTCAAAGATCTCACTTCAAAATCTGATTTATCCAAACCAGAGAGAAGTTTAGAATTATTTGAAAGAAAATTAAAATGTGAAGATACTAGTATTCATGGTGCAGAATTTCAGAAATTTAGTGTATTTCAACAACACTGTTTGTTTGTACATAAGTATTCATGAATTAAGGGTTTTTAAAAAGATACTCAAACAATCCTTGTAGCTAAAGAATGCAGCATTAAGGGTCTGTATGAATGTGCAGTGAATAAACCTGACTTGCATCTCAGAGAAAGTTACACAGAAAAATTTTATCTTCCCATCCAACTTCAAAGATATTTTTAAACAAAATAGTAGAAACACATTTGGAAGAACCCAAAAGAACAAAAGGCATAACTAAAAGAAATAAAAATGTGCCATTTAAAATCGCTAAGGAGTCTTGACAAGGTCGATCCAATTACCATCTCCTTTGCTTCTTTTCCACAGCAGTGCATGCAGCTAGTTGAATAATATGTATCAACCAGATATCTGCTAAAAGTAGAGTCTGGAAACAGCATAGTTATTCGTTGTCCTGAAGATATATTTGTGTATTTAAAAAGGGATTCTCTCTTCATTATGCAACATAGTGATACTGATTGGGGTTGTCTTTGTCTCTCTCCATATAGTCTCTATCTATGAGAGATTCAATCCTCTTTTTCAAGTCTCCAGGCTACAAGAAAAAGATACATTATTAAATACTATGCCAATTATAAGTGAAATATATATGGAAGTAAATTTTTATCTTTATTTTCAAACTAAAGAAACCTTTATTTTCAAAGTTGGGGCAGCTATAAACTGTATAACAAAATACACCATTAAATTAAACATCTATTTCTCAATATAAACTCCTGGCATAAAGCTGCTGACATTTTTGTTCCTTTCTATTAACACAGGGGTTTGTTGACTGTGGGTACGCGGCGATGAAGCGCTGCCATCCTGCACTATTGCCTCACAGAAGCAAGGGCCGCATAGATGCCATGCTACTGCCACTCGTCACCCCCGCCTTCCCGCTCCACGTCTGACCACTCGCCGCCACCCTGCATCCAGCTACTCACCTCCCACCCCCCCGGGAGTGCACTTATTAAAAAGGGGGTTGCTGGGGGTACACTTATTAAAAAAAGGTTGAAAACCCCTGTATTAACATATACACTTTAATATCTGAATTGGTGATTCAGCTATAACATTCTGCACTATTCTTCTTCTTCAACATCTAACAAGGTTTAAGATAAATGGAAAAATTGAGCAACACTTTCTAGTATTTTTAAATAATGTTAAGATGGTTCAAAGTTCACTTACCTTAACTGGAAATTTCAGCTGATTATACAATTCAGAAACAAGAAGGTTATGACCAAGTGTCTTTCTTATCTTCATTATTCGTACAATAGCAGCATCAATCTGATATTGTCTGTCTTGAAATACTCTTTCAGTTGTGCTCACCTGTTCCTCAACCTGAAAGACAATCAGAAAAGATGTATCAAGCCATCTTTCATCTTTAATTCCTCTGAGAATTTGGTTAAGCTTTGGAGAAGAATATACAGCTAAGACATTAATCAGAATGTACATTCATGCTTTACCCGAGAGAGAGAGGTGGACAGACACAAACCACTGTGCATCTAAAACTAGGTTTCTGGGATACCCTGGTGTTAGAGGAGACAGAATGCATAAGCACGGTAAATTAAAATACTGTATATACTCGAATCCAAGATGAGTTTTATTCCTTCCATTCAACATATGGGAAAAAAGCCCCTTATCTTGGATTTGAGTACAGAGCAGGGGGAGGGGCTACTGCTGCAGCTCCAGCGCTGGCTCTGATCCGGGCTTGGGGTCAGAGCTCTAGCTACTGCCCCTCCCCCATCTGCCTCCCACTTTCCCCCTCCCTGTCATCTCTGCTTGGCCTCCCCACTCCTGCCCTACTTACCCTCAGTCATGGCTCTGAGCCTCCGCCAGCCTGGGGAACACAGCACATGGCGACTGCAGCCCCTGCCCAGCCAGGCAGCAGCTCCAGCTCCAGCTTTGACTCAGTCCTGTGGCCAGGTGTGGAGCTACCACCGCTACAATCACTGCTGCGTAGCTGGGCAGGGGTCAGAGCCACCATGTCCTTGTTATCCCTGGCGAGAACAAGGCTGGAGTTGGAGCCAGAGCTGTGACAGAGTAAGCAGGGGGTGGGGGAAGGCACAGGCACTATGGGGGGAGAGAGAGTAGGCAGTGAGAGAGTGGGGTACATGGCAGGAAACAAGCTACAGGGAGGCACAGTACTGTGGGGGAGGGCAGACTCCAGGGAAGTAAGTGGGGGTGGCGGAGGAGGAAGGCAACAGGATGCAGAGGTCAGGCCACTTAACTCTTCTAACCACTTGTCCCCCCACTGCCTGCGGTTTCCTCACTGCAGTAGTGGTGGGGGAGGGATGAACTTAACCCTACAATAATTACATTCTATACGTGCAAAATTATAATAAATTAATAATTTTTCATAAAAATAATTATCGGGGGGTCATCTTAAATTGGAAGTCATCTTGGATTCAGGTAAATCTAGTTTTATAAAAACTGAGCTTGGTAAATCACACTGTAGTTTAAAAATCATTTAGAATTGTTTAAATAAATACAAATACAGATGAACTCTGCATAGAACTCTGACAAACAAAGGCCTTCTGAAATACAGTGTCATTTCAAGGTTATGTATTTCAAGGACCTGCCTGAACACAAAGGCAAGCTAAATAACTGGTCATGCTAACCAACGTGTGCTGAATATACTGAGCTGGGACTCAATCCTGACAGACAGCTATAGCAACTGCCACAACAGAAATAACACTGGCATGTTAGTAACCTCTCACCCTTCAGGTAAAAAAACAAAGCAGCTCATCTGTTAATGGCATTTCTTCTGATTTGTTTATTAAGAATAGAGGCAATGCCTTAACTGCACTGGGAAACAGTAAAGATGTACTGAAAGGCATGCAAGATCATATTACTTAGGACACATGCTAGCAGACAGATTAGAATGCATTCTCCCCTCCTAAAAGGAAAACAACCTAGTGTATCAGCGCTGTCAGAATGTGGATAAGCAAGTCAGTGATAGTTTAATCAGAAAGCATGCAAATAAGAACAGTTTTAATACATACTGTTTCTTTCATCTGTATCTGGTTAATCTTGATTCTAAACAATCTATGCTTGAAATCACCATTAAAGATGAATTTGTCTTCATCTTCTACATCCTTGCCTTTTGGATTTTTAATCAATACTCGTGCTTTACCACAGGCCAAAGACTGCAAGGTTCTTCGCAATTCACTGTCCTCTGTAAACAAGTAAAAAAAAATGCAAGAAAAACTCACCAGAATGTTGAAAAATTACTTTTTTAATGTATAAAAGCAATTACAAAAATTCTCCCGTACTTGAAATAGGTTGGCATTAATTTATTTTAATTCATTCCCAATTATACAACATTTTAACTCTAAGGCCCCCTGTACACATGCAGGGAAGGGCACAATGGGATCTAATGCAAGACTGACACAATTGCACCTCCTGCCATGCCACAAGTGCATGGTACGAGGTGTGACTGTGGTATTGCACATTAGATCTCATTGCACCTTATTGCCAGTGAAAAGGAACCTGATCCCAAGCTTCCCCTGCACTGGCAAGAAACAAGCTCCCACAGCTGGGTGCCCCATGCACCCCGGTTGAACCTCAGGCCCTAGGGATCGTGGCAGCTGCAATCCCCAGGGTTCAGGAGTTTCATGTACTCCCAAAGCCCTAAGGCAGCCATGACACCAAGGGCTCTGGGGTGCATGAAACCCATGGATCCTGGTGATTGTGGCTGCTAGGATCCCATAAGGCTCAGGAGTTTTACGCTGGGCATAGTGCACCCCTACCGCTAGCAGCCCCAACAGCCGATGGGGCTTCCAGTTGCAGGGGAGACCCTGCTACGTGTGCATATTAAAGCTTGGTAGCAACTAGCTATAAAATTAGTACACATTTTTGAGGCCTAACTTTATAGCCGGTTGGTACTTTTTATTGTGAGACAGCTATTTTGCATGTGTAGATGGCCTCCAAGTAATTTTGCAATTAGCCAGTTAATTGCACAATACCCGTACCATGTCGATGGGGTCTAAAGGCCCACCCTGCAGCTCTTAAATGTAATTCTGGACTGTAGTTTCAGCATTGTACAAGACATGAATAAACCCAGTCTCAACCTTGGAGGCCACATCCAGACAAGCACAGCAGTATGGTACGTGGTGCTGCAAATATGTCTGCGGCGCCACACACTGCATATTCAGATGTTCTCCATGCTGCAAGGGAACGTTTCCTGTGTGTGCACTGAGTATCACCTCACTAGACCTGTTTGTGATGCACCGACTTATGCAAGAAAGGGTGCAGTTAGCTTTATTTATTACCTCATCACACTGGTGACTCATGTTCATTTTGGAGTCATCTACGACTCCGAGATCCCTTTCTGCAGTTGTGCTACTTAGAGTGGTACCTCCCAGGCTGTAGGAGTGTTGATGATTCTTTCTCCCCAGGTGCAACACATGACACTTATCCTTCTTAAACTGCATCCTATTCTGTTCCACCCATTTCCCCAGCCTGTCCAAATCAACCTGGATTCGTTCCCTGCTGTCTAGTTTGTTTACCTCTCCCCATAGTTTGGTGTCGTCAGCAAACTTGGACAGGGTGCTTTCTACTCCCTCGTCCAAGTCACTAATGAAGAAATTGAATAGTACCGGTCCCAGGGCAGAGCCTTGGGGGACTCTGCTGCCCACATTTCTCCAGGTAGAAACCGACCCATCCACCACCACTCTCTGGGTGCACCCCAAAAGCCAATTTTCTACCCACTGGACTGTGTAATAATCTACATTGCAACTGTTTAGTTTATTTATAAGACTTGGGTGTGACACTGTGTGAAAGGCCTTTTAAAAATCTAAGTAAATAACATCTACCTCTGTTCCTTCATCCAAGCATTTTGTGACCCAGTCGTAAAATGAAACCAGGTTAGTCAGGCAGGATCTGCCTG